TGAAAAGGGGCGACTAAGGGGTGGTGTCCAAGCACAAGGCGCACATCATGGTGAAGGGCTATGCACAGTGGCACGACATCGACTACGACAAAGAAGTCTTGTGGCACGAATCATGAAAACATCATTTTTTTTATTAGTCGACTCACGTTAAGTCGACTCACCTTGGTAAGTTACATTAGTCAGGAAATAATTATTCTTAATGTGATAGTGACTTGTGGCACGAATCATGAAAACATCATTTTTCTAATTTTTTTTTTTTTTTTTTNTTTTTCTCTCTCAAAGCAAGCTTCTTTGTGGTCAGTATCATCTGTAAGAAGATAAATCTACAGCACAGTCTAAACTTGTATGATTCGTTCTTTAGGCCTTACTCAGAAGGTGTATCAGTATACTAGATAAATTGAACCTATATGTCATGTATGATATGGTGTCAAAGGCTTATTAACAACAATTTTTTGGATTCACAAACTGTGTCATCTGAATATAGATAATAGTAACTTGGCCATCTTTTAATAAATTACAAACCTAATTGGTAACATTCATTTTCACTGCTACAACAATTTTACATTTTACATCTTTCACCAGTCCAATATATCTACAACACTGATGTTTTACCTCACTCATTTCCATGACTTATGAGGAGGTGAGGAGCTTCATCATGAAGTTGAACTGAGTCTCGGGTGAGATCTTCGGGTGGGGCCATTTAGCTTCTTGAGGGACTCTAATGCATTTGAAACCTTGGCTTGTGTATAAATTTGTTGCTCCAGGGTTGTTAAGGTCACAGTGTAGTGCGATTGCTCGGCAGCCCCAGCTTTTGGCTTTCGCTTCTGCTTTTGCAATTAGCTTCTTTGCAATTCCCTTCCTTCGGAAGTTTGCTCGGACCGCAACATTTGACACGTATGCAATCCCTGTCCTGTCCAAAATCCAAACTTGCTTTGGTTTAGTGTAAATATATATAAAAAGGATCGACTTATCTTTACTAGTTACAACAAGTACCCCGATCATTTATAGGCTAGACAAATAAGCTAGCTTATAGCTTATTTGGTTAGCTTATAAGCTTCCTGTATTCAAATCAGCTTCGTTTGGTAGGACGAGTTTTTTTAAAAAGCTTGAGCTTATCTCGAAAGCTTCTTTGGGTGGCTTTTCAAATAAGTTCGTTGTAATTTTATTTCTACTAGCTTATCAGCTAAATTTACCAAACACTTTTCAACTATAAGCTCGAAAATCACTTATCAGCTATCAGCTAGTTTACCAAACATAATCTAAACTAGGTAATGAATTTACCTTCTTTGTCTAAAAGGTCCTTTTCTTGGAAGAAAATCGGCCACTGTATCGACCGTCAAAATTCCGGTGACATATCCTTTACCGAGTCTGATTTTTCCAATCTTGAAATCATCATCACTGCCAATAAAGAAGGAATCCTCACCACAGCTTTCAGTAACAGCAACAAGGCAAGTCCTTTTACAGCCCTTTGGTATTGAGAATCCAAAGAGCATCCCAACAAGCCTGTCGAACCTCAACACGAAATCCAGAGGGAAGGAATATTCCGGAAAGAAAGAACTGCAGTGCGTCTCGGCCACTTCCCAACAGTCTTCTATCCTTGCCTCACGAACAACGATATTTTGGTGGAAATCCAACGCATTAGGTGATGAAAATCCTTCGAAAGCAAAATAAACAAAACAGAATGCTTTCTTTTTATTTGGGAATGAGTAATTGAGAGCTCTTATACTTCAAAGAAAATTATCGAGAGGAATCATTTGATTGATAAAATTTTACGATTCAACTGCTACAAGTTCTAGCCAGGAAAATCATAATCTTTATTACGGACTTCTGCCAGTAGTTGATAAAACAAAATTATTTTTCATCATTACTGGTATATACTAAAGTAGCATATCAAAATCAGATCACCATAATGCAAGGGCTCAAACACTCCCAATAGTTGCTAAAGACAGCATTTTTTCTACATCTCAAACAAGGGGAGATTCTACGGTCCCATTATGCAACCATTCGTTACATGATGCTCCAACGGTTACAAATCTCAGCGGAATGGTTCCGTAACGGGACTGTAACATTTCCCCCCAAAGAATCCATCACTAAAAAAGTAAGGTATTAATTAATTGGTATCAATAGGGAAAAAACGAAAAGGGAATAAAAAAAAAAAAAATCCATGCTTTTTTAGCAGAGCTGAGCAACTGGGGTGTGCATATATGAGCTATAGCAAGTCTGTATTCAAATAAAAATGCAATCTTGGTAGAAATCAAATGACATAGAAACACAAGTTTTTTCTACTGTTTTGAGTATCAACAGGCCTCAATCCCAATTTCTTTCAACTCGTTCCTTCTTGAACCATCAAAATCTCTCTCTCTCTCTCTCTCTCTCTCTCTCTCTCTCTCTCTCTCTCTCTCTCTCTCTCTCTCAATCCCAAAAATTAAAGAAGGATAAAGAATAGAGATCATACCAGATGCATGGGCAGATGAAGAGAAGGTGGATGAGGGGAGTTCATAGTGAGAAATCTTGTCGGAAAATGAAGAAGAAGAAGAAAAGGGTTGATGCTTGAGATTCTTGATTTGTAGAGTGAGATTGAGTTTGCATATGTTGCTGTTGACACCTCCCAAACAAATCATTCTCACCACCAATTACAGAGCAAGTTACCCTCGATCCCCCCCTTTTATCTGCTCCTTCTATATTATTTTCCCCTCTCTCTCTCTCTCTCTCTAAGTGGAGATACAAATGGGACTTTTTTTTCAAGTGAAATTTGGGTCTGTTTTTTCAGGGAAAACTATACTTAATCCACCTAATTATGCATTTACACATTTTGTCATATAACATTCTAAATAATTGCATTTAACTAATTTCCGGTCATCGTCCGGCTATTTCGAAGGCAAAGTGTAAATAAAAAAAAAGTTGAGTGGGTAAAACGTAAAGAAAGGTATAGGTGGGTGGGTAAAGTGTAAATTTCCAATTACAATTAACTTAATGCATGACTGAAAAGTCAATTTTGCACTTAAGAATCCCGATAGTGACCGAAAATTGGTTAAGTGTAATTTTTTGCAGTTATATTGGCAAAGTGTCACGAAAAAAGTTGAATGGGTAAAGTGCAAAAAACTCTATAGTTAGGTGGATTAAGTGTAGTTTTTCCTTTGTTTTAATAAGTTTAGTAACATAAATTAATTAATTTATTAAATATAGTGTTGCAGTTACGAAATAAAATGTAGAAAAAACAAACTTTAAATGTATTTTTTTTATAATAATGTCCTAATATAAACAAATGAAATAACATATTACAAGTTTACAATCCAACAAAAATATATGAAAAATTAGGCTCTAATTGAAAAAAAAAAAAAAA